GTTTTGTTTTAGTATTTTGAATTGAAAGAAAATGTAATTATAGAATTCATTTTAAATTGAAAAAAAAAGTCCTTCAAGAACAACGTTTTTAAAAAAACAGTACAGTTGCATTTCGAAAATTTAAGTCGTTTGTTGGCTTCTCTTTATTGAGTTAAATAAAATTATATAACGCACCATAGTGTACTAATCATTAAACAAAGTGTATACTACTTTAAACGCTTATTAAAGTTTTCTTTTAAGGAATAAAATCTTCATATATCAAAATATGGTTTTATTAATAAACACACTTTTTTAAGTAAAAAATTGCCTAATTTCAGTCGCCCTTAGAGAAAACGAGTCATCTTGTGCCACCAGACAACCACAAGGGTACACCTCTGTGTGTGTATATATATATATATATATATATATATATATATATATATATATATATATATATATATATATATATATATATATATATATATATATATATATATACATATATATATATATATATATTTATATATATATATATATATATATATATATATATATATATATATATATATATATATATATATATATATATATATATATATATATATAGTTGAATCTTTCTTCGTAAAGTAGTTCTGAGTATGCATTTTGTCTTGTTGTTTTATGTAGTATTTTTTCAATAAGATTAACATCATTTTTTAAAAAATATTTTCAAATAGAAAATTCATATTCAAAATGATGGTGTCGTAACGAAATGTATAACAATTTAACTATACCAGCATTTAAGAATGTGTGTCAGATAAGACCTAAAATTCTATTTGCTTTAGAAACACATGCAGATATATGAAAATCATATTTCAGATCATTTTAATGATCTGAAATTTTCATATGACACTAAGATCGTTTGTACTCAATTGATAATCAGAAATGTTTAAATTTTTTGATAATTTTGTTAAATTTTGTTCTTTTAGTGACATGCATAATTTTACATTTTTCTATAACAAATTGCATACTCCAGCCATTGCACTAATTTAAAATTTATGTCATCCTGTAGATTATTACAACTGTTATCACAAATTATCCAGAAAATTTTGCAACCATCAGCATAAATAGTCATAAATTTCAATAAACAGTCATCAATAAATGGTCATAAATTTAAAACACAATACATTTTTGTTAAAAATCAAATAATGTTATTGAACACTAATTTATTTTAAAATAATAAGTAAAAAATATCAAAAAATCATTAGGCTTTTGAGAAGTAAAACTGTTGACCTGGCCATGAATGGCATCATACCCTAGACATTTCTAAGGTGCTATACAAACTTCTAAGTACTGTCTATACTGTGATTAAATGTTTTCAAAATGACTGATTGTGTTAAGAAGAAGCTTAGCAGTGATTTAAAGAGCTCAATTTGTAAGGTCAATGAGGAAAATGGTTAATAAGCTCTCAGTAAGTAAGCATGGTCATAAAGGATCTCATGGCAAAGTCAAGACCCAGGATTAGGAAACACCTGGTTTTCCCAAGTGTCAAAGGAAAAAGATTTGAAAGATCAAAGAAACTTCTGAGCCTTTAATTTGGGCATATGTAAAATCAAGGGCTTGTCAATGTCCCAACAAGTGTCAATATCTTGAAGGCTGCCATCAAGAAGGAGTGGAACTAGATGCCTAAGGACCTGACCACCTTTTCAAAGTTCAGAAGTCATCTTGAAGCTGTGATTGATGCTCAGGGAGGACATATTGAATAAAAATGTAGTAAATATCTTTCTGAACACCTTTAATAAATAAAATTTTTTTTAGCTTTAATATTTCATTCTGCATTAATTTTGGTCAACAAATAACTTTTTTACAAAAATGGCGTTCCCATATGGTATGGTTTCTAAAAAAAATCTGAAGAGTTAATACTAGAAGACAAAGATTAGATAAGTCATCGATTACCGTTCATAAAAATAAGAGGATCTGATTTTTGTATTGTGATGAAGAGTGCTATCCATTGAGAATAACTTTTATATGACGATTGTTTAGGAAAGATACAATAATCTTAAAAACGTTACCTGATACACTGTAAGAAGAGAGCTTATGGAGAAGGCTAGCATGCCAATTTTTATCAAAAGCTTTAGAAATGTCAAGAGCAATAGCCTTAACCTCTCTACCTCTATCTAATGTATGATAAAACCTATCAGTTAATACTGTTAGCAAATCAGCTGTAGAACAAGAAGATCAAAATCCATATTGATGTTCAGAAAGTTATTAGATTTAAGATGAGTGATTAAGTGTTTGTTAATTAAAGATTCAAAAACCTTGCATATGATACAAAGAAGACTAATGTGACATTAGTTCACTCTCCAGAATTTTAGAAAATAGGGATAACAGATAGTACTTTCCAGCAGACTGGAAAACATTACCCTAATAAGCACTTAATAAACAGCTTTAATATCAGTGTATAATTTCAACACATACTTTCAAGACAACAGCTCTTTATACCACTAATCACTGATGTGATCAGTGGAATCAAAGCAACTATTATATAGTAAACTATTCAGCTTTTTCTTTAGTGAGGTAACAAAATCTGAACATGCAAGAGAGGTGGAATAACAAATTTTTTCTTACTATAGACACTGTTAAAGATTCTTTAGGAGTCTCGGGAGCCTAATTTTTGAGATGAAATATGAGAATCTGTGACCTGAGAATAGAAGGCTTTGGCGTTAAAAAAAAACCTTTTTACAATGATTTCTAGCAATAGTAAACAGACGTCTGTTTTTCTGGAAAATTGTTTTGGTGATAGATGTGGTTACGATTGGAAATCGCAGCAACACAATAAAAAAGCTATAGAGAAGAGTGAGGCTTGACTTGGAATTGTCAAGAGGGAATAAAAGATTTTATGCCAGCCTGAATCCAATAAGTTACATAAGAAGCACATTTGTCAGCAGAAAGATGAAAAATTTCTACCCAAGAGTCATCATGAAGGAAATCATGGTAATAGTCCCAGTCAGCTTTCAAGAAGTTGTAAAAGGTACAATGATAGGGGATTCTGATGATGAAGAAGAATGAGATATTAGAGAGAAAAAAACGTTATCAGAAGCACCTATGAATGATTAGGATTGGCTTGAAAGTAAGATAGAAAGTTGACTATTTGAGTTAGAGATTAAGAATAGCAAAAGTTGTGGGCCTTAATACCTTTAGAGTAACTAAGACTAGAGTTAGTGTAATTTGATATGACGAGCATTTAAGTCACCAACAACAACAATATTGCCTGAAGGATAAAGAGAAAGGGCTTAGTCAATTTGATCAGAAATAACATCAAAAAGAGTACAGTCTTGAGATAAAGAAGACTGACATAGAACAAAGAGAAAAATGATAGAGTGAAGTGGTGTTAAATGAAAGCACACAAAAGAATAGTCTGTAGTCTCCCGACAATTAGGTGAATTCTTACAAATGTAAATGCCCAGGACAAGCATATGATATATATATATATATATATATATATCTTTACAAATTAAAGTAAGATAACCATTAACACTAAGATCACATGATGAGACAGCTGAACTCAAATTAGTCTCACAAAAAGCAAGTAGGTCTCATGAACTTTGCAAGAGATAAGACTCAACAGAAGAAGTTACTTTAAAAACCAAAAATATTAGTAGAAAAAAAAAAAAGTTACTTTAAAAACCAAAAATATTAGTGAATGAGAACTTGGTAATGAGGAAATATTTAATAGTCCAACCAATTGCCTCATTACTATTAATAAACCCTAAGCCATAACAAAAAGCTCCAAATGTGGCCTTGACATTGCACATCAAAAGTATAACAGGGACACTATCCCTGCACAAAATGGCACTGTTAGTACTCTGATACATTACAGTTGTTGATGGAATCAACCTCTCTGAGATCTATCACAGAGTTCAGAAAACTTGAATACCAGCCAGCATCAAAACTATAAGACTGAGTTTTAGAGCTGTACCCTCATTAGGAGATAATTGTATAAGTTGCCTAGTCATAAAAACAGAGACACAAGAAAAACTCATGCTTTGAGTCAAGAAGATCCAGCATTCAACATCCTAAACTCAAAACAATATTTTATAAATGCATCTACACCAGCCTAATAGATGAAGAAGGGGTACAAAGTTGGTTAACAGATAGAATATGTTTACCCTATAAGTCTTTGCCTTGGCCTTCTATAAGACAGTAGCCAGATACATTTAACGTCTGCCCAAGATGAGTATTTTTATTGAGACACTATCTCTAGCCTTTACTCAATCAAGAGCTTAATTACATAACAAATTTATGAATAAATTATTTTTTAAGTTGCTTTTTAACACAAGTTTGTTAACTTTTTAGATTGAGAATAGTAAGACCATCAATTAGAAAAAATAAACTTGTTTACGAGCAGAAGAAGAATATTTTATTCAAGAGAAATTGTTTGATTTTATTAAAGAGAAATTATTTGATTTTATTCTTTCAAGTAGTTTTTCTTTCTTTTTTTAAACTCGCTATTTAAAACAAAATTATAATTATATATGAATGAACGAATCTTGTAACAATAATTTTTTATTTGATAGTCTATTTTGATACATATGTTTAGTTTAATAGATGTATGTATTCCAGTTTAGTATGATTTATGTATTCTAGTTTAGTATGATGTATATATTATGTACATATTTAGTTTTATGTATATCTATTTAGCATTAATTTTTTTTAGATGTATGAATTTTAGTTTAGCTTTAGATGTATAGACCTAATATAAAAATATTAATTAAAAAAAAAAAAAAAAGACAATATATCTTAATAAAAACACTTATTGATAACCAAGTCAATGTCAATGTCAAAATAAAAGTTAAATTCATCAACAAGCAAGCTAAATACATTGGCGAATGAGTTTTCAAAAAGTCAAATTTATTAACTATGAAGTAAAATTTATTAACTATCAAGTCACATTTATTACTATTACAACTGTCATTATTACTATCTATATTATTACAAATTACAATTACAAATATCAATTATTTAATAACAAACTATTTTACCTTAATGAAAACAGTGGAGCTCCATATAAAATATTTAGGCGTCGATGCTTTAAAAATGCAAAACTTGAATTATCCTATTAATAAAATATTTTTTTTACAATATAATTTTGTTTTTGTTACTACACATTGACAAATAAAATTAATAACAAAAAAAAAATTAGTAAAATTAAACAAAAAGGGTATGAAAGAATTGTTTAATATAACCCTCTTTAATATGTCTCTTTTGATAATATTTGGAGGAGTTGTAGGATATAATTCTTTTCTAAAACTCCTCCAAACAAGTTCAAGAGTTCATTTTATTGTTTTAACCAAACCAACTGATGTTTGCATCTCTCAAATTGTCTGCAAGGAAGATTAAAGGAAAAATATGCCAGACACTAATATTTTGTCAAAAATTAAAAAATTTAAGACAAATAAAGATGTAAAATGTTACAAATAATTTATAGTTAAATAAAGATAAAATAACTTAAAAATAAAAATAGAGAAATAGATTTATATTAAGAAAAATAAAGATGTATAATATTGTAAATATGTAGAAATAATGTATGGACAAAAGATTTTAACATATAAAAATGGAGAAATAGATTTATGGATAATGGAGAAATAGATTTACTTTGTAAAAATTATGCCATTGTTTTTAAGAAGCTGATAAGATTCCTTATGACATTTTAGGAAATTATAACAGTTTTTTTATTCAAAAACAGTCTAAATGATCAAAATATAAAAACTAACTTTTCAAATTGTGTTTAAAATAAAATTTTTTTGCAATCTAAATTAATGAGCAAATCTACTGTGTAATGAAAAAGCATTAACTTGGTTTTCATTGCATTTGCTAGATAGAAAAGTTTAAATGATAAGCAAATCTTTCTATAACAACTCTCAGTTCTTGTAGTTTACAAAGAAAAGAGTTTTAAAATGTTTTTGTATAGAAAAAAAGATAAAAAAAAATGTACAAAAGCAGATTTAGTACAAAAAATCGATGCAATGCTTTTTCAAACAGCTTACTAGCATTTTCAATTGTATTAAAAATGTCTTAAAAAAATAATATAAATATATAAAAAAATGGAAAACATATAAAGCACATATAATATTATAAATGACTGTTGGATTAAACTTTATTTTTTCAAGGTAACAATGATTGTGTCTGTCATTTTTGCAAATTTTATTTAATGGAGTCAAAAAGATTTCTACAATATTCAAACAATAAACCATCATCAGCTTCAGTCAGTCAGTCAGTCAGTCAGTTTTTGGTCTGGTACAGCCCATACATTTTTGACTGAATTTAAATGGCAATCTAGCTGGAAACTGGATTAACTTGACTTTGTTTTCTTTAAACAAGGCTGTTCCTGCTTTTGCTTTGCGAAGAGAAGTATTGTCTCACTGAAATATCTTTAAACAAGGCCTTTATTAAAATTAAATGATTTTCAGCATCTTAATGTATCTGTGTTAGTTTAATCTGCAAGCATACAAATAGCCTAGTACTGGTCCATCATATGTGATACAACTCGATCCCTACCAAGACTCCTTCCATCTAAAACTAAGGTACAATGAAGCTATTATGAAACTTTTTCTAAAGTTTTCTTTAAACAAGTAATTTTTTTCTATTAAGAACCATATAATTCAATTCATCATTAAATACTTTTTTCATCTAATGATAAGTCATCAAAGAAATCCCTTCCCCTCCCCCCCCCCCCCCCCCAAAAAAAAAAATGTGTGCATGTAATACATAGTTTCATATATTTTCCTTGTACAATTTGCTGGAGTCAATCTGATGATTTAATCCTAGACTTTCAGACAGCAGTTTACAAGCATAGTTTATAATCAATTATTCCTATTTAATGTCGGTCTTAAGATGCCAATTTTAAGAGCTAAATTAATTTGAGCAATTTGTTTGACACTATGCCTAGAAATATACTTTTATCATTAGTGATATTATCATCAGTGATAGTTGTGGATCCTTGGATCTAATTTTCTAGTGTGATACCAGTTTTTTTGTACTTAGCCATTGATTTAGAACAAATGGTTGCAACACTATCTTGAGAATTGCTTGATTTTATACTTTATATTTACATTTTATGATGGTACTTTTTTTATTAAAAGTACCAGTATAATTCAAGTCAATAACATTTCTTTAACTAATATCTTTTATATGTTTAATGTGTAATATGCTTTTATGACAAATTTTAGGTAAAAATAGTAATGTTTAGCGTGCACTAACAGTGAGTAAAAAAAATTTTTTGTATGGATTTAAATGTAGTATTATTTTAAAGAATAAACTTTATTTAACATTTAGATCTTTATAAGAAACTAATTACTAATTTTAAAAAAGACATTAGGTGATGGAAAAATGTCACATGTCAATTTGCCTTTAGTTGCTATGAAACTAACATTAATACTTGGTGTAACTGATGCTTTGGGTTTTATTCAAATCACAAAGCCGTATTTAACTAAATGGGAAACTGAATTCAACTATGTGATTTTTGTTCTTTACAACTGTAGTCGATCATCAAAAGGAATTATGTTATTTATTGTTTACATTTGCAGAAAAAAGGTTATTCAACTCTTCAAAATAAGTTTTGCTCGGTTAACCAATCGCTTACAACAAAAAACATTTTACGAATTAAACTCTTATGTGAAACAAACATCGTCATTTAAATAATAGTAAACTATCAAAGTAAAACAATAATAAACTTTTTTATTGTACTTGATTGTACTTTTTTATTGTTGCTTGATTGTACATTTGCAACATAAGATATGAAACTTTTCTGTAGACAGCTTGATTTGAACATGTTGCAACATGAAATATGAAACTTTTCAAATCTTATGTTGCAAAACCTTTTACACCATTTAGTTCATTTGAATCAATTTCTTTTGCTGATAAATGCCATGCTTGATTGAAAAAAAAAACAGTTTTTAAATATTTCATTTTGTTTTAAAACTCTTAATGCTTAATAAGGCCTGTCTTTCCTTTTTTCAACAACATTCAATAACTCATCTTGTTGATATATGTTTGAGTCAACTAACTTCAAAATCAGCTGTCTTGATATATTGGTATTCGGGCATTGTCCAGACAATGCCCGAATACCAATAAGTCACTGCCAGTATTAAGATTTAATAAGAGTCACCCTGTAAAATGTTCTTATACTATAAATAAATAAATTCCAAAAATATAAATTTAAAAAAATGGATGGCTGTTTAGGGATTTAAGTTAAAGTAATTTGTTTTAAAGGACAAAGGGCGCTACAAATTTTAAAAATTTTCAAATTATTTTTATATTCAATATTTATTTTTAGCTATATATTTGTGCTTAACTGAATACAAGTAATTGCATATAACTTGATATGATATTTAAGTTAAAAAAATAATTTTTGGATAATTTTACATCACTTTATATTTTTAATATTATGTTTTTGTTTTCCGTTTTTCTGCTTTTTATAAAAGTAGTATTAAAATTATTTTACAAGATTCAAAATATTTTTAAAAGTTTTAAAATATTTTTATGTATAGATCTGTGAATTGTAAGAATCCTTTGGATTGCAAAACAACGCATTTTGCTTGTTTATGTAAAAGCAGAAAAAAAGTAAACAATTTTAATTTTAAAATATTAGATATAATTAATTCAATTAATCTGTAGTAAGTTGGATGGCTTTAAATCTGATAGTAACAATAAAACACATGTTGGAGTAAAACTTTTCTTTCAAAATTAATTTTATTTTGATTTATTATTAGTATAAAAAAAGCCTAATAATTGGTTTGAACCTGTGATTTTCTCAAGTCTTTAAGAAATTTTAAGATATATTTGATACTATTTTTAAAAAGTTTATTATCAAGCTACTAAAACACCTTGTTAAAAAATGTATAAAATTCAGGTACCACCATTGGATAAACAAACAACAGCTGCCAGAGAAAAAAGAAAGAAAGAGAGAGAAACTAGTGAACAGATAAAAAGATGTATTATATCGCCTGCTGTGGAAATTCAATGATTCCAATCTGGACGCTGAGTTATTTGATAACAATAATAAACTTGAATCTGATCCAGAGTTTTCTATAGACGTGCCAGTTGAAAAAAATTATACTCATTTAACAAACTTGGCAAAGGCTGCTGCAATAGCAACAGCTGTATTAATAGACTATGGAGTTGTAAAAAAATGTGATAAATCTCAAATAATAACAGAAAAAAAAATTTTGGGTGAAAAAGAAAAATCAGCAGCATCATAAGTTCTAAATACAACGCTGATGTTAAAGAATTAAAGGTTATTGGAATATATGGAAAAATTGACAAGTCAACGTTGTACATTCTATCAAGCAAAACATTGATAAAGATCCTATTATTGTTGCTTCAACCAATAAAGAACATCATCTTGCATTTACAGCAGAGTAAAAAAAACCTAAGTCAAAAAGAGAATAAAAGAAACATAAGAAAGTGTGACTATTTTATAAAATGAATGTCTAATATTTTAGTTATATTTTATGTTTTTAAGTTTTTGACTGCTGAATAAAATATTAATTGTAGGCAATAATCAATGTTTAGTGCACCAAGGCTCCACAATTTGGGGACCTCCAAACGATCATGAACTTCTCAATAAAACTTTTTTTTTAATGTAAATAACTTAACAATTATTTATAATGACTAAAATACATGTATATTATACTTATTATATCTTTGGTAAATCTTAGTTTTTGATGTCTTTTTGATTTTTCTGTTTTTGATGTCTTTTTGAAATCTTTTTTTTTTCAACTTACAGTAAAAACTCAAGAACTTTTTATATATGTATGCCATTAAAATGTGTTGCATCGGGGCCCCCAGAAATAGAAAACTGGCTCTTTAGACATCTATAAAATAAGCTGCAAAACATATCAAAATAGTTGAAAATGAAAAAAAATGCAATTATTCAATCCAATTTCCCGAAGAGAATGTAACTTAAAAAAAAAAAAAAGTGATTGTTTTGTGTTACTAATATTGCAATACACAAATGCCAGGGTGACTCTTTATGATTTTAAAAAAAAACATTGCAGGCAGTGGCTTAGAATACCAATGCAGTCTTATTTCTTTGGAAAATTATTTCTAAAATGACCCCGCTCTAAGATTACACTCAATCAACTATTGATAATATAGATAAAAGATAATAAAAAAATTAAAATAATAAAATAAAGAATTTTTGCCCTTGAATACAGTTTTCAAACTTTTTTATTTTGTGGTGATTTTTTATATAATTATTATTGTTTTGGGTTAATATTATAGATTCTAATTTGTAGAAATCATAGAACTCACAATTTTGATAAGTTATTTATTCTTATCAAATAAATACTTAAAAATAATAAAACAAAAAGAAATAATAATAGAAAAATTCAATTAGACTTGTTATTTAAAAATAAAAACCTTGTAAATACTTTATTATTATTATATCATAAAATATATAAATTTTGTAAATATTTGTTGATTCCAAAATCAAAATTTTAAAAGCTTTTAAAAAATTCTATTTTTAAAAAATTCAGTACTATAAATTATATAAGTTTATAACTATATATCATAATTTATACATTTTATAAAAATTTATTCAATATTTTAAACAACCTGTAAATAACCAAATAGAGGGTCGTTAATTGAATTCCAAACCAAATAAAATGTCTGGGCAGCATTAAACCAATAAATTGAAATCCTAAAATGAAAATATACTTCAATAATCATAGACCATCCAAATTGTTTTTTTACAAACCTTAAAACTTTTACAAAAACCTGAAAGAAATTAAAATCAGAAAACATATAGTTTTTTAAATACATATAAAAATGTAAAAAAGAAAGAAAAAATATGTTTAATGTCATACATTTTCAATAAATTGTAATTTATTAAATTTAAAGAAATCTAAATATATTAAGTTTTTTTTATATCCTGTTTCTTTCACTAAAATAAAAATTAATAAAGTTGTTTATTCTTTTCATGTTGACATCAAATCTTGTTATTAATACCTGTGTGCGTTGTTATTGAGAGGTTGATAACTAAAAAAAAACATCATTAATGGCTTTTGCTAATAATTAGATGTTTTCATTGCATTGTTCATTAATGTTAAAAAGAAGTCCTAAATTTTTGTTTATCATGCTTATATATACATATACATACATATATATATATACTACTGTAATCAAAAAGGAAAGTGAAATTGTCATTTAAAACTCCCGGGCATTATGAAGACAGATAAATTTTTTTTTCTAGGTTGGTAGGACTGTCTATAACAATTACCAAGCATCTGTTTGTCAAAAGGTTTAATTATCTCCAAGTTACACATATTTTTGTAAACAACCTAAAGTAAATTTTTTGATTTCTACAATAGGTGATTTTGTTGAGCAAAGAACTTGCATCAAATTTTGTTTGCGGAAAAAAGACTCTTGTGCGGACACGTTGAACATGTTGCGGAAGGCCTTTGGTGATCAAACTATGGCACAAAAAAATGTTTATAAGTTATACAATGAGTTCAAAGAGGGCCTAGAACGTGTTAAGACAAACAGTGCTCTGGACGACCATCAATGCCTACCAACGGAGGACATGTCCAAAAAATCAAAGATTTGGTGCTTAAAAATTGTTAATTGACAATTAGAGATCTCGCTGATAGAGTTGGAATATCATTTGGCTCAGCCCAAACCATTTTGAAGAATGTTTTGTGTCTCAATTGGCACCAAACCCGCTCAATTTTTTTGATAAAAACTGTTGCATTGATGTGTCTGAAACTTTGTTGTCTGACTATCAGGACCACTTAAAATGCAAGATCGAAAAGACCACAGCAAAATCAATTGAAAATCAAGGTCATGTTGACAGTTTTCTTTGATTATCGTGGTGTGGTACACTATGAATTCCTTCGGCTGGGCCAAACTGTCAACAAAGAACATTATTTGAGCATTATGCATCAGTTTTGTGAAGCTATTCGTCTGAAACAGACAGAATTATGGGCAAACAACTCTTAGTTCCTTCATCACAATAATGCATCATCTCATAATGTATTGGTTCTTAGGGAATTTTTCTCAAAAACTTAAATAATATCGTTCCGCAACCACCTTCTAGGCAAAGACATAAAGGGTAAATAGATTCTATCTGTTGACCAGCTTCACACTTCTTTATCTAATAGACTGGTATTTTTAAAATAATGTTTCCAGTTTAGAAAGTTGAATGCTGGATCTTCTTGACTCATTGAATGGGTTTTGCTTGTGTCTAGGAAATGACTGGGGCCTCAGCCTTGTCCCTGGCTAAAAATGAGACTTTTTGCATACCCGCCCTAAAGAATTACAGAGCTTAAATCTGACAGGACATTTTTGCATTGGTTTCTTGGAATAATAGAAAAGGCATTTGTTTTTAAGAGAGGTATTCTTGTAAAAAAGGTTAAAAAGACGATTAATGTTTAATAAAGCAACTGCTCATAATGGTGAAAAATGTGGAGTAGAATGAGGCTTGACATAAATTTAATGAGAAGGAATAAAAGTTTTCAAACTTTTATTACAGAAGGAATAAAAGCTTTAGAGATGCGCTTTATGCATATATATTATGAGTATAAACATAAATATTTGCTATTTATTTAGATGCTTGTATATAATATCCTTTCATATTTATATAAACTTCAGTATTTATATGATACAGTATTTGCCGAAAGAGAAGATGATTAGATGGAAGTGTGGTGTAAAAAAATAGATGAATAGTAAAACTAGAAAAGAAGGTATACCCTTAGACAGATTATAAAAAAATGTTGTATTGAACAACCTTTGTTGAAAAAGATTAAAGTGAATTAAGTATCTGCATGTAGAGTTGTAACAGCTTCAGGAGAAAATGGTAGTGGTAAAAGTAAGAAAACTGGAAGAGCCTTACAGATTGTATGAATGAGCTTTAGTTAAGAAAAGAAAATGCTCTAGATTTATATTAAAGAAACAACATAAAAGAGAAAGGCTAAATGATGATGATGATGATGATGATGATGATGATGATGATGATGATGATGATGATGATGATGATGATGATCATGATGATGATGATGATCATCATCATGATCATGATGATGATGATGATGATGATGATGATGATGATGATAATGATGATGATGATGATGATCATGATCATGATCATGATCATGATGATCATGATCATGATGATCATGATCATGATGATGATGATGATAATCATGATGATCATGATCATGATGATGATGATGATAATCATGATGATCATGATTATGATGATGATAATGATGATTATGATGATCATGTTGATCATAATGACGTTTATATATGCATATATATACAAAATATAACATGAATTTTGAAATAAAAATATATACTTTAGGATGTATAAATGTTTATGTAGCCCCAGTCACAAACCCAGCCCTGGCTATATTTTATCAAACCCAGCCCCAGCCCTAGTCAAATATCAACCCCAGTTGCTTACTACTGTGTCTCTATTTTTATGACTGGACAATTCATTCTATTATCTCCTAATAAGGGTATAGCTCTAAAACTTAGTTTTATGGTTCTGAGCCCAGCTGGTCATCAGGTTCCCAAAACTTTGTGATGTCTCTGATTCTATCAACAGCTGTAAAGTATCAGATTACTAACATTGCCATGATGCACATGGATGGTATCTCTATTTGTACTTTTGGTGTACATGGTAGAGACAATTTAGAGTTTTTTATTACGAGTTTATTAATAGTAGTTAGGGTTTATTAATAGTAATGAGGTGATTGCTTGGACTATTAGATAATATACTGAATACTAACTGTGCTTTTAGTCAAGTTCTTTAACAAATTTAAAAAAAGACTAAAGAATCAAAAACAATAAAACACAAAAACCCATTACCACCAAATTCTCTAATTTTATCATTCTCATGGTTAAAGTAACTTTTTTCTGTTATTTCTTTCAAAGTTCACCAGACCTACTAACTCTTTGTGAGACTTATTTGAGTTCAACTTTCTGATCTTGTAATCTTAGTGTTAATGGTTATCTTCCTTTAATTCTTTAAAATTCCAATAAACACATACTTGGCCTGGGCATTTGTAAGAACTCACACATTTGTCTGAAAAACTTTGTTTTATATCGCTGTCCTTCATTTCAAGACTGCACTCTTTTTAATGTTATTTCTGATAAAATCTCTAACACAAATAGTCTACTTTCCAGACAATCTGAATCATTTATCTTTTCTACTTGACATGTGTCTTGTTTCTGGTCTCTCTAAAACGAATATCTCATTCTTCTTCTTCATTAGAATTCCCTTATCATACAACTACCATAAAGTTGACTGGAACTCTTTTTATGTATTTCTTTGTGATGGCCCTTGGGTAGAAATCTTTCGTCGTCCTGCTTAAAAATGTGATTCTTATGTAACTTCTTGAATTCAGGCTGGCATGAAATTTTTTTATCATCTCTGGACAAGCTCAAATCAAGTCTCCATGATTTTGCTCTCATTATGCTGCTGCAATTTCTAATCGTAACCATTACTTCCATATCTACCACCAAAACAATTCTCCAAAAAACAGATGTCTGTTTTTTATTGTCAGAAACCATTATAAAAAGATTTTATCGAATGTCAAAGCCCGCTATTTTTAGGTCACTAAATCTTGCATTTTATCTAAAAATTCAAGATTTAGTGAGAAGGCTTCAGAGATTTCTGGAGCCTTCTCACTAAATCTTGAATTTTTCTTCCTATAATATGCCAAGTTTTTGACTCTTTTACAAATACTTAATCTCTAATCTTGAACCTAATAACTTACTTTCTGATTATCAATATGGATTTCAATCTTCTCATTCTACTTATTACATAGATGTGGAGAGGTTAAGACTATTGCTCTCATTTCTAAAACTTTTAATAAAGTTTGGCAAGCTGGTCTTCTCCAGTGTATCAGGTAAAATCTTTAAGATTATTGAAAATTTTCTTACCAATCCTAGTATAAAAGTTGTCTTAGATGGAACAAACTTTTCTTAATTTCCTGTAACTCCAGGGGTTCCTCAAGGTTCGATCCTTGGCTATATACTTTTAAAGGTGGCATTATTGGCTATTATTATTATTATCATTGATATTATACTATTATTATTATTGATATATACTATTATTATTATTGATACTACCATTTATTCTTGTATTGATAAGAAGCCAACACTCTCTGATTGCTTGGAGGGGGAATTTGAGCAAGGGGAAATTTTGGAAATTTGAAAAGGATCTCACTTCATATACAGCATGGGGCTCTCAACGGCTGGTGAACTTTAACTCAGACAAAAATTCCCATATTTATGAACAATAAATCTAAATCTTCCCATATTTATGAACAGTAATATACTAGATGAGTCATGGAGTACATTACAATCTTCATCTTCTAGGATTAACTTTTACTTCAGATCTTTCTGGGAAACCATATATCAAAGCTGTTGCAAAATTAGCATCCGCTAAAGTTGCATCTTATGATCGCTACTTTCTTAATCTGGATTCCCTTCTTTATCTCTATAAATCTCAACTTTGTCCTTGTATGATTATATTTTTACACTATTCTGTTTTTAAAAAAATTTATAAGTATATGTTTACACCATTCTGTTGTTAAACAAATCCCATGCATAAAATGTCATGTAATAAAAATATTAGACAAAATGTTTAAATGAGAATCTGTAAATTAGTATACAGGCTAATTGAGTTGCAAAAAACGAAAAAAAATTGGAATAGTAAAAAGAGACAAAAAGAAAAGATGATCCAAGGTTGTCATTAATGTAGATTTAAAGCAATAAATAATTACTGTTTAATAAATATATGGCAATAAATTTATGGTAAATATTTTGTTTTCTTGAACCATTTTGTTTTCTTTAGTTTACCAATTCGAACATTTAGTTTTAGTAGGTTACAATGAATTTTTACAGCAAAATATATAATATTTTGCTGTAAAAAAAACATAAAATAAACTATGTTAACATTATTAACTAATATAAAATAAGGTAACATGTATTAGTTACTACAAAACCATTTAATAAATGCCTTATTAATAATTAATATTTTTCCATTACATTATTGACATTATTCTGCTATATTATGTAAACTTATTTAATTTTTGAAATAGTTTAAAGTAAACATGTAGAAAAAATTAACTATCATTGTTATTATATATTGTGCTTTTTTATATATTAGTATCGCATATTATTTTAACTGTATTATTAAGATTATCAGGTGTATTTTATATTTTCTTTTTTTTTGTGTGTGTTTAATTATTTTAACTCATGTTTTGTATCATTTCATAATATTGTTGTTGTTGATTTTATTTTTTGTTTATTTTGTTTAGATGTCACTCCTTTAAATAGTTTTTAACTATATGAGTGACACCGAACCTGATTTGTAAAATTATAATTAAATTTGTAATTTTTAAAATTTGGTTAAATAAATGGATGAAAAATAACCTTTTTTTTTATTATTCATTATTTGAAAAAAAAATTATTTTTGTATTTTGCTGTTAAGTTTTAGTAGAACCTTTGTAACGATTTAAAAAAAAAACTTTAAACACCTACTTGTATTGATTTAAGAATAAATTTACGTAATAAAATTGAAAAACAGAATTCATAAGATTTGCAGCAATAGTTGTAGTAGCATAAGCTAAAAAGTTTGATTGTTGAAATCGTAGCAGCATTTTTGAGAAATGACAAGCTTAAAAACTGAAATTATTATTGTTTTAAGACTACTACTTGGAGAGTCATTGTTGGAAATACCACAACAAAACACGATTTCTAATTTATAAAATGCCGAATAAATTTTTTTTCCCGCTAACTTTAATAACTTCCTTGTTTTTATTTCAATTTAAAATCCCATAACAGTAATTTAAAGACATCTTGAAGTTTCAAAATTTTTTATTTGAAACATTCCTGATTTTTTATTTTAGTTATGAATTATATTTTCTTTATGTTCAGAAAAATTAACTTTACTATATTTTTTTAAGGAAATTAAAATGAGAACTAGTTAGTACGGTCGCACGGGAGCCAGTTTTGCACACGGCCCCTATAATAATTTTTAATATAAATTTATATTAAAAATTATTATAGGGACCGTGTGCAAAACTGGCTCCCGTTTAATATGGTATTTAATATGTTTTATAAAACATATTTATTCTTCAAAACAAATTATAAAGTAAATAAAACATCAGTTGTTCACAAAAAATATGCAGTATCCAGCAATAATAAATTGCTTCCAAAAATGTATCTGAAAAAAAATCCGGTTATTTGCTTCGCGAAAAATTGAGAAACTTTAAAAATAAATGCACTCAATTTTCGAAAAAAAAATTTTCAAAATACCTTTAAATGCTTAACAATAAATTCCAGAACAGATTACTCAACCATAATGACATAAAAGCTTGTTATTTTTAACTTAATTGTATTTTTGTCTTTTTTGTGTTGATATTAGGATGCACAAATATCTTACGGACATACAACTTTTCAAAAATTTTATAAGGGTGAGCGTGGAGTAGTGGTGGCAAATACTGATAGCAATATAACCTTTAGTAATTCCTACCAAAATCTTATCTAAAAAATTGAATTTGTTTGTCCCTATCGTAAATTAGAAACTTTTACACATATGTGTTCGTAAGTTACGCATATGTATTCGTAAGGCTCGATTTCATTTCAAAATAGCCATGTAATAAGCAGTTTTTGCCGCACCCGTATGCTAGTAGCTGCCAGTGCAGATGATTAATATTTTAATTATTTTTAAATTATTATACAACACTGTTATGCTTTTTCATAATAATCTTTTTAGGATGAAGTTAAATACTTTAAATATTTTTCTTAATTAAATCATAAAATATGACATAAGTTTTTAGCTTAAAGAAAACTTTATCAAGTTTTCCTGCCTAAAAATTTTTCTATATACATCTCCTGATTTTACTATACTGTAACTCTGTTACGAAAAATGCTACATTGAAATTCCATGACGTCAAGTGGTTTACGGCTTAAGAGGCTTTTAATCTATAAATATTTATGCAGTTTAATGAGTAATTTTTGATGAGTTTCTACGGTTTTCAATGTTATTTTTTGAGGCTTGTATTTTAGAATACATCACAAGATTTTTTAAAAGAGACAAGTTCTCATAGAATACTTAGACGTAAGCAAGAAAGTTTATAAATCTTTTCAAATTAATCCGTAAACTTTATAATGAGGAAGAAGATATAAAAGCTGCAATCGATGATGTTATAAGGTAAAATGCACAACGCATTTTAGAAATAATAAAATGAAAAAAACTTAAATATAAAACTTTATACAGTAATTAACCTTTAGTTGCTAGTCTATACTATAGTATTTTTTATTCTTATTTTTAGGCAATCAGGGTTAGGGTTAGGGTTCCCAAACAGACTAAATGCTGCTACCTGGAACCACATTATGGAAAAAAAAAATTTAAAAGACTTCTGTCACCAACAAGATGGGGCTGTAATCAAGTATATGTAAATTTGGATTAAGAATCCGGGTTTTTTCACAAGAATTTAACTAAAAAAGAAGCCTGGTTAAACTCAAAGAAAATAAAAATATTATTTCAGAAAAAAAAGACAAGAGAATGCTCGTTGTTGTGTTCTGTGTAAAAAGATTACGAAACGAGTCTTTCTTACAGTAATCTGATAAAGGAATGAAAAATACCCTTTCTGGGTTTGTAAAAACATAGTATACAATTTCTTTTGATGCATTACATTTTAAAAAAATATTAATTATTTATTGAAACCAAAAGTTACAAACTATCATCAGATTGCTTTTTTTATACCTGTGGCTATTGTATTGTGTCAAACTAGCTAATGACAACATTGTGTTGATGCTTTTCTAATTTGTTACCTTAGAATAAAAATGAATTATCAGAATAAACCATAGGTTCCGGGTTTCACTTGCAGATGCTGCAGGTCGACAATATAAGGCTGGTTTCGTGTCAGCAAGAAACGTATGCTCTTTGTTGTTTCTAAAATCTGGAGTAAGCAGTAAGCAGATTAGTTGAAAAACAGTAAGCAGATTAGTTGAAAAGTTGTTACTTTTGTGTGGTAAATATTTTAATGTAAAAAAGTTTTGAGAATTTGATAAGTTTAATGTATCTTGATTTAACTTGTTCTAATTCTTATTGCTTGATATTTATTATTGTTCTAATTCTTATTTTAATTCTCAGTGCTTTAAAAATGAGCAGCTTATTTTGCTTCCTCTACTCTATAAAGTAGTTGACAAAAGTAATAATACATTGGCTTCAAAATTTATTTGAAACATTTTTTTTTTTTACTTTTTATTGTTTATTTATTATTCAATATAAATTTAGGAATTTATTAAAAATTTTTAATATATTTTTATGTATGCTTAATGATATATAGGTGTATTTCTATTATATATGTAAATATATATTATTTACGGAATGTTAAGGGCTTGGTGATAAAAATCCTACTTGTTTTTTTCTTGCCTCGACCATTTGTATATTTTATAAATACTAAAACTATAAATATTGTATTAAAGGCAAACTAACAAAAATAAAAAATAATAAAAAACTTTAATTACAAAACTTTTTTGTCCCAATAAAAAGAAACTTTCTTTGTCCTGTTGTAGTAAATCTTAAGTTTGTGCTCAATGTATTTTTTTTTTTTTTTTCAACAGTCTGTACACGTAAGGAATTTAATAAAAACATATTTGAAACTATGAATCTAAAAGCAAAAGCTATGCTATATAACATATAATATATTATATAACACAAGGAGGCATTGCAGCAATAAAATTGATTTATAGCTTCTATGTTTTTTTTTAAAAGTTATTTTTGTTAAATCTTTTTATGTACACTAAGAAAAATGTTCTTAGTTTGTTTTTTACGTTTATAATTACAAAATAATTGATCCTTTACTTTGCCTCCGTTTGCGCACGATTCAGCGGGCAGGACTTTACCTTTAAAACCTGGGTTTAATTCATTTTCAGTATTTTCTAATAAAATAGTTTATCATTATATAATTATTATAATAAGCATTCAAAGAGAACTGTTTCTAAAGGTGAAGCGTAGAACGTGACTTTCTCCTGTGGCTAAAATCATTGTCTCGTAGCAAGTTATAAACATAGTCACCATCTCATTTTATCTATTCTGATAAATTCTGTTACTAATATATTTTGGTTAAACCGTTTAAAAGATGTTGTTTTTTTTACTGCACTAAGATTTAACTTTAAGAATTTGAAATAAAAATGCAGTGCACCTTAATTTAAATTTTGCACCCTAGGCTTTGGAAACTGTATAAAAGTATTACTACTAAATATCGGAAGATCTTGGCTTGACTGTTGTCCAGTGGTGCGCCAAGAGTAAATGGCTTTCATGGCAAACACCACCTTTACGTCACTCTTCGACAATAGAATGCTTCCGTTTTATTTTCTTAAAAACTACTTTAAATTGGGTGAAAAAGCACACAAGCTAATTTTTTTTTGACCGCTATTAACATTTAATTATAAATTTGTCAAGATCACATAATTGAATTTTTCCCATCGAGGCTCTTAACTATGAGAAAATTAATTTTATTGCCAATTTCAAAAGATGAATGATCTTTCGCTACTGGCAAATATAAACTGCAACTGTCAGCAATATTTCGCGAGGTTATAATTATTTTGTTCTATCTCCACGTTTTTCCGAATTGAGAAAATTAAATTCAAAGTTTTAAATGAACCTGCAGACCAAATAACATAAAAAACGCAAACAAAACCGATTTTTATCAATTTTCCATATAGGCTACCACAGTTTAAAAGAATTTGTTTTAAAATATTTAAATTGCAGGTGTCTTATTTACTACACCTTGATTTGAAGATAGAACAATGTAATACACACTTTTTTTGTAAAATACAGTATTATTTTGTTCTATCTCCATTTTGTGTAAAAAAACATATTACAAATTAATATACTGTTGCAAGATGAATTTATATTTTGGCAATAAAAGTACTCTAAGATACATATTTGCTTTATTTGAAAAAAAAATTTATTTTACACAAGTGAACAAACTATATGAATACGTTATTTTGTCAAAACAGAGAAGATAAATAATATATTATCTTAAGATCTTTACAATGAAATAAAACTTAAATTATAAATTCCAATAACATAACATCTAAAGTACATTGCACAGTAAAATGATATCTCAAATTAGGCAAATCAAGCATATCTGGTTAATCCATTAAAAATATAACATTTCAGAAAGAAGTCCATTTAACAACATAACATATAATACAAATATTTAGACAATAAAATAAATTATTTTAAAATACTTTTATAAAATGCAACATCTACAGCAGACATACACTTGAGCATACTTATAAGGTTCTTGGCTTTATCACTTGAAATTTGAGCACACTGATGTCAAGGCAGAAGCCATTGGTACAACTGCCAGAGGTCTTGTTATCACAGATGATAAAGAGCGCGGATTGTTAGGAAGACGCCTAATTCGTGCTTCTGAACAAACATCTGAAAACGACTTTCTGTAATACACATGATCTGAAAACTCTGCTCTGTAAACCAGATGCTTTATCTGGCTATAGGGAACAAGTTTAAAATTGAAATAGCTTGCAATAGCTGAAAAATGTTTGAAATCCAATCTTTTCATTTGGTAGACAAAAAAAGAATTTCTTCTTTGAACAGCAGAAATTGCTCTGGTTAAACCGAAAGGACTAAATATTTCAAGAAGAGCAAGTGCTCTGTCAATTTGACTGTGGATATTTTCAACCTCTTGTATACTAGAATGTCCTGGTTCACAAAACTTTTGCTCAA